CACACACACACACACACACACACACACACACACACACACGCACACGCAGACCTACAGCGTCATGCCACTCCACTGGTTCCACTAGTTCCTCTGTGTGAGGGCTCACTCCTTCATCTCTGCTCTCATCTGTGCTCGGCGAGTATTTCTTGGCAGCCTGGCCAGCTCGGCTGAGGCAGTAGAACAGGCAAGTCTGGCTCGCAAAGAATCAAGAAGGTGAATTTCACCCTATCAGAGCAGACGAATGACAGCGTGTGACTAAATATCTAAAAATAGCCGGGGGGGGGGGGGGGTCAAGGGTCAGAGGCAGGTGTTACAAGGAAGGGCGATTGATTTCTTGTGAAGAAATCTGACAGATTTTAAATGAAACCTGATGTTAAACAAGTTGGTCCAGAAGAGAAAAAAGCAAGTTAAATAAAAACCGATTTTGTTTTCCAAAGTTTTTCAAGGTTTACCTGTATCCCGGCGCAGATATGGACGAAAGGTCTGTGTGTTTCACCTCTAGTAGTCAGCTTGTCAAAAACTGTCTGTCCATTCAAACTCTGGTGTTGACAGGCTGCAGCAGAGTGTGCAGGTAAGCAAAGGTGGATTGGTGTTTACTCAGTGGCCACAAGAGGAGAGGTGGGGCTACTCTGCACAGGTACCCCCCCCCCCCCCACCTTCTCTCTGTCCCTCCTTGAATCTTTGAATTGCTCACCTGATAAGGAATCAGAAGGCAAAGGACGAAAGGGCAGAGGGTGTGACGCGCATGAAGGATCGAGAAGAATCTGGAACAGGTCAGGAGGGCCAGCCTTGATCCTTCCTTCTAACTAAAACACCAACAAARGTCAAGTTTTGGTCTTTGAGAAATTCACCCTCTTTTTCAATCAATCTGACTATAAATCTTTCTTCCAGTAATTATAGTTTGACAGGAAATTACAGGAGTCACTCGCAAAGACAGTGTAGCGTTTGCATGAAATTAAATAAAACAATGAAAGATCAATTCAAAACCGTGCTCCATGACTGAATTAAATGAATGCAAACGGAAGAGAAATTGGCTACGGGATGAACTCTTAACAGGAGCTGAGTCTTTTAGATAAAATTACACCTCACACACAAACACACACTGCAATCTTCTCATTCATGTAACTGGAGAGAAAAAATACGCTGTGAGTGTAGTGTGGAGGCGACAAGTTTGTTTCTGTAAATAGCTGGACGAGAAAGACGTTCTGAAATGTAATGAGCACAAATGCTGATTCACCTTCCAACTAATGTTTTCCTCTTTAAATTTTCCATGTATTTTGCAATAGTAGTACTTCAACACCAGGGGCAGTTCTAGGGGTGGGGCCACTGGGGCATCGGCCCCTGCTAAAATCTGATTGGCCCCCTGAAGTGCCCCTGTCCTGTCACTCATCTGTCCTTTGCCTAAGAGCAATGATGCTGGGTGCAGTTCCATGCCCAAACACTACAGGCSCTAATGAGTCAAACAGTAAAGTCCAGCATGAWTCAAGCTGACAGAAGTCTTCTTCTCTTCTTTAAGACAATTTTGCTAAAAAATATCTTTATTTTCTCATATGCTTTGAAAATATTTCATCCATGTACAGTACAAATGCCTGAAACATTGATAATTTAAGCTTTTTTAATAACATTACATTACGTTACAATTATTGGAACTTATGTGATCGGTTAAATTTATACACATTACCAAAAACTTGGCCCCTCTATGAATACTGTGGCCCATTGATTGCCCCTCACTCAGAAAAAATCCTACCTCTGTTACACTGTTTGCTATTTTAGTCAGGTCAAAGTTAGCTACTTTTAGCTTTCAGACAGCTTTTTGCTCTTTTTAATTTCTAGCTAAATTCTAACATAACTAAAAGTTATAATTTTAGCTAGCTTTTGCCATTTTTAACTTGCCTTTTGCTGCTTTTAGCTACACCTTTTCTCCTATTAGCTTTTGGCTAGCATTTTGCTACATTTAGCATTTACTTACACTGAAATAGCCATTTAACTATATGTTTAAATATTACTAGATTATAGTTGAAATCTTTTCAAACTAAGAGAAATAATCTGCCAATGCAGAAATAAAATTGTACCTGGTAATTTTTTTTTTAATAAAGAAATATTTCCAGGCAAACAAAATTATATCAAGTATATTAATTTCAAAACATGATCAAAAATACTTTCTGGCTGGATATAAGATTGTAAAGACTTGGTTAGACTGACAATTTTTGCAGTGTAGCTTTTAGGCTTTTAGTTTCAGCTTCTGCAGCAAATTTCAGCGGTCATTAACGCTGGTTTCATTTAGATTCTCTGTTCAMTCTTAACATTTCACACATGCAACATAAAATAAAAAAGTTGAAAGTCGTTTTCATGATAAACTCAAAGTAAAACTTGCATCAGATGGGGTCCCATTCTAYTAATATAAGTGTGTGTGTTAATCACAAGTAACTCATTAACCAACCTCTTTGTTAATGAAGGACAAGCAATCACTGATTGTCACCCTTTTTTTGGGTCAGTACATGCTCATAAACTCAGACTGTGTGGATTTCAAGTTCAAAGTTTTCAAGTTGGAAAATTATTGTCTGACATGATGTGAAAAGTGTCAGAGGCTGAATCATAAACTTGTGTTCAAGTTGAGACGTTCAATCATCGACACAATTTTATGACCAGCGCTCTGAATCACATGTTTAAAATACACTCACAAGCAGAAATCGAGTTTCTCTGCTTAGGAAACAGATTTCTTGTTAAATATAATCATTTTTGTAATTTTGCTTTGTTCCATTCAAGCGTTTAACTGAAATATTTCCATAAAGAATAAGAAAATTTGCCAATTTTCTGCTCTGTCTCCAGATGTATTTGTGCTGTTGTGAGAAGACTTTTTTTGACTCGAGCTGCACACAGATAATTATGTTGTTATCTAATATAAGACAGTAAGACAAGCTGCTAAAAGTGATAAATGATAAAAGGTAGATAAATGTTGCCAGAATAAGATTAGTTTTGAAAATGTATTTTATTATCACATCAACAAAAGTCCACATTAGCCTACAGTTTGATTTGTTTTGTCTTTATCTTTGAGTGAAAACCAGTCAAATATGTGTTCTTGTTTAGTTGTCTATCATATCATATTTATGACTTCTTKCTGTGTCCTAACTTCTCTCCAGTGTTTCTATCTTGGTGTAACAAAGCATTCTGTCTTTAATCTTTATTGAAACATTTTTTAGATTAGCACATCTTAATCATTTTTGTTCTCTACTTGTTAGCATGTAACCGCATCACTGCTACCGTTCATCACAGAGTAAGATTCAAGAATGTACCTGGTTGGAAATATTTCAGCTTCAGGGCAGTTATTTTGTTGGAAATGAGACTAATGGATGTCAGCTTGTCATAAAGGGAAGTCAGAATCAAAGCACTTTCATCTTCACATTTGTTGCTTTAGGTTCCGGTAAAAAAAAACAAAATAAACAAAACTTAAAATGCTTTCATGGTGCTGTCACACAGCAGATTGAGTGAAGTGTCACAAAGTGAACATTACACGAAGCACAAACATGGAAGAACTGGACCAACAAGTCTCTGTAAGAAGCTGTACATTAGCATCTTTGGAGGGAACACTGAKATAGGAAGCAAATAATGTGAACAAAATTTTTAACCAAGATAATTTAAAGTTACAACWGTTTTGGTCAAACCTTGTAGATAATATTTTGTACGATGTGATAGAGTTTGAAACATAATTTGACCGTGACTCGTAGCTACTACCACACCAAATTAGAGCCAATTTTATGTTGGCTAAGTAGATTAGATGTGTCTCTAGAACTGGGTTGACTCCAACAGATAATCAGTAATAATAATCTAATCTTTACTTTAAGAGTTTCATTAAAAAACATCCACTGGTTCACAAGACGTCTTGCTAACAGATAATAAAGTGACAAATGATTATGGGAAGCCAAAAACTGGCACAAAGCACTTCTTGTATAGAARGGGTCACAGATTATCTCTCTGCTGGAATAACCGTGGAAGTGAAAATGATTGTAGTGTAAAGGTTCATGAATACCACGACAAAATGTTTGAGACTGGGGCTGTTTGAAAACAGAGGAAACCCACTGACAGCCTTTCACATTCAGACCAGCTGTTAGCTCWTTAATCTGGTCAGAATCAATCTCGGTTTTTCCAAACTGAGGCTGTTAAAAAAGCCATCTACGACAGGTAAGATATTTATTGTTCAGAACCTTTCCAAAGAACCCTACTTTAAAAGACCAGAACTCTTACTTTAGCTCAATTTTCCTTGTATCATTGCTCACACACACAGTTTCAAAATGTAAATTAAAAGAATAAAATCTGTCTAGATGTTTGGCATTCTGCAGATTTGATATTTCCACACACGATGGAGCACCAACTATATGCTTCAACAAAGTCCACATCCAACATAATAACATCAGCAGGTGAGCAAACGTCAACACAGTCAGCAGAGGCACTGAGTGAAACAATGTCACAGGAGGGGGTGGGGATGGGGAAGGAAAGCTGCTCTGTATTGAATGTAAACTTCAGACTTTGTACTCTTGTTACTGGAAACATAAACATTAACATTACCCAAAATGTGCGTCTCAGCCCTGCAGGACACACAAGACACTCTGGAAGGCTACAGGAGGACAAAATGTCTTTTTCTTAAAACTCTCTTCTAAAAAAACAACTTCAAACATAAGCATCAGGCCTTTTTTCCTCTTTAACTAAAGATCAAGCAAAGGCTAAACATAAAAAACTTTCAAAATAACGAACATTAAATATAAGAAAATGTATCAATGAGTTGAAATCAGAGCTACAACCAAAATTGCAAGTAAGCACAACATGTAAAATTGAATCTAATAAAAGACCTATCATTTTTTAAAAGAATGCATATCACATTGTTTTTCATACATGGATATACTGAAACATTTAAGGGCAAAAACATTAACAACCTGTACGTTTTAACAGTGAGTGATAATGCTTTCTTTTTTATAAATACTTTTTTATTTTCTTGTTTGTTTTTTATTCCTCTGTTTCYATCCAAGTTTTGTGGACCTCGAGCCTGCAATAAAATTTGCTGAATGAAATTAATGTACTCGTTTAACACTTTCATTAACAACTGCAGGGTCGTACATTGTGTTAAACATATTAAAGGTAATGCACAGTTTGTGTTAGAACAAAGTGTCCAACGTTAAAACTTCTGGTTAGAAAGTTAAAGAAAAGTGAGACCAGATTTGAGCGACTGAGTGACTCTGCTCTAAACCATCACCTCTGGTCCRGTAAGTATTTTTAACCGTTTCTTGCCTGATTGACAAAATGACTCAGCAGAAAAAGAGAAAAGAGCCTCTGTGGTCTCCTGCAGCAGGAACACAGGATCTGACGATAAGGTCCTGCTTTTTTCCCCCCTTTACTCTGATGAAAGATGTTTCCCCTTTTGCCTAGAAGTAGTCAGCTGATGGTCTACACACAGTCATGTGGCCTGTCGCTCACTAGTGGCAGATGAACCGTAGTGTGTGTGTGTGTGTGTGTGTGTGTGTGTGTGTGTGTGTGTGTGTGTGTGT